ATGCTGGGTAGAGGAATCTAGGCAAAAAGAACAGCCAGTATGAGGTCTCAAGATTGGAGCATGCCTAGAGTGTTGGGTAAATCACCAGGACAGTGGATTGAATGAGTTGGAGGAGAACAAGTATGACATCAGATCAGAGAGATCCTGGGGCCATGGAAGAGTTAGAGGGGCTGTGAGTATATAGGGCTTTCATTGACTTTTCTCTTATGCGATAGGGAGCTGTGGGACATTTTTGGGGGGGTACTGGGGGTTGAACTGGGGTCCTTGTGCTTGGGAGGCAGGTGGTGGCACCACTGAGTTAAATTCGGCCCCTGTGGGATAGTTTTGAGCAGAGGTGGGACATCATTTGTCATGCTGCTCTGTTGAACCCAGATTTCTGGGAGCTAGAGACGAATGGGCCCATCTTGGGTGAGGTGCCTACTCTTGATCTCAAGAAGACAGATAGTATTGGGAAGGGTAATAGAAGACTCAGAATCATGACTTTGTCCATTCTTGGACACACAGCTGGACAGACATCTCAAAAGATGCCTGCTATGTTATTGACATCTAGAGTAGGTCTTTTAGGATGAAGTTCTGCGAGTAATGCAGGTTTACTCAGATGACCTCATCTAGATACCTACTTCCCATTTCTTCCAGACCAGGTTTCCTTTTAAGAACATGAAGTGAACTTGGTTTTAGTATAGTATTAGAAGAGTTCTTAAAAAGGGAACAGGAACCAGAAGTAAGGCACCAAGGAAAAACAGTTCAGGCTAAATTTTAGACTGCAGTTGTAGGGAACTAGGCAAGATATGGGAGTTTAAGGCAGTGGAAATGGAAAAAATGTAAAAGAAGAAACATCAGGGTGGAATTAATAGAATATTGTAGTTGATGAGGTAGGTAGGGAAGAGGAATTTTAAATGATTGATTTCTAGAGTAGTTTCATCAACTGGGAATAAGAAAAGTTGTTTCAAACATTGTTTACAAGTGCTAGCATAACAATATCATAAATTGGCTGCCTAAGCAAGAGAAATTTATTTTCTCAGCTCTGGAGGTCAGAAGTCTGAGATCAAGGTGTTGACAGGGTTGGTTTCTTCTGAGGCCTTTCTCCTTGGCTTATGATGGTTGACGTATGTCTTCACGTGGTCTTTCTTCTGTGCATGTGTCCCAGGCTTCTCTTCATATAGGAACACTAGTCAGATTAGATTAGAGCCCACACTAGCAACCACATTTTAACTTAAATCATATAAATACTGTCAAATTCTGAAGTACTAAGAGGGTTAGGGCTTCAAAATAAGAATTCTTTGGATGAATTGGGGTCCATTTCAGCCCTGAATTCTTGAAGGCTTGGAAGACAAGCATTTCCTATGCCCTTATTTCTTGTAACTTCATTATACTATCTATCCTTTTTACTTTTCTCTCCCTTCTTTTCTCTATTACCTGATGGTATGTTCTGTGAACATAGAATCAGGTTAATAAAATAATAATTTATACCCAATAAAATTTACCCCTTTAGTGTGCCCTTCTATTTGCAATACATGATTTTGAAGCTTCATGCCTTTTTTCTTTTGTTTTCCATTTACCAAGTATTGGATACCTACTGTATACCTAGGATTGTTGCCAGCAAAGTTTGTTACATAATAAACTTTACTTCCCCCTCAGACTTTGCAAAGTGCCTAGAGAGATACTTGTATTGAGTGGAACAGTTTGAAGGGCCATTGATACAGAATAATAGTTCTCAAAGTTTGATCCCAGGGCCTTTTATTTTTATAAAAATGCAAAAGTAATTTAGCAGAGAAAGTATATTTCAAGAAATGGTACTGGAATAATTGTTTATTCATAGGCAAAAACCTTTGGTGCCATAACCTGTGCCATATCCCCAAATTAACTTAAGGTATATTAGACCTACATGAAACACCTAACACTAAATATAAAAGCATTTCTTTTGATCTTAGATCTTGGATCTAACATCAGGCACATGATCCGCCAAAGAACTTGGTAAATTGGATGGCTTCAAATTCAGAACTTCTACTCTTTGAAAGACAAGAGAATGAACACAGGCTAGTAAATATTTGCAGGCACATAGACACATGCATTTTGCCTTAGGCCTTACCCCACTGAGCTGCACCCCAAGCTTATTTAATTATTGTTTTAGAATTTTGTGAGAGGGTCTTACTAAATGGCCCAGATTGGGCTCAGTTTTGATCTTCTGCCTCAGCCTCCCAGAGTGCCAGAATTACAAGCATGCCTCACCACATACACATATTTAATGAAATATTTCGAGTGTACAAAAAAGGAAAAATCCTCTCAAAACTCAGGGAGCAACCTATTTTTTAAAATGGCTCAAAGATCTGGGAAGATATTTCACCAAAAATATATGCACGTGGCTGTTAAGCACTAGAAAAGATCCTAACATCATTAGTCATTCATTAGGCAAATGCAGATCACAACGGTAATGAGATACTCCTTCATAGCCCCTAGGATGGATATAATTAAAAGGAACAGATAATAGGTGTTGGGAAGGATCCGAGGACACTTAGACCCTTCATTCCTCACTGGTGAGAAAGTAATATGTTGCAGCTGATTTTGTGTTCCTCAGAAAGTTAAACTGCGTAACAATATGATCCAGAGTCAGTTCATTTCTCAGTACATACCCAAGTTAAAAATGTATGCTCACACAAAAGCCTGGATATGAATGTTCAGAGCAGTATTATTCATGGTAACCAAACAGCAGAAACAACTCAGTGTCCACCAGTGGATGAATAAATGTGGTCTGTTTCTAAAATGGGTGTTATTCAGAGGTACAGAAGGACGAAGTATATTGATAGGTGTTACAACTTGAACTTTCTCCACATTATGCTAAGTGAAAGAAACTAGTCACACAAAAACTACATTTTATGTTATCTAATTTGTATGAAATATTCAAAATAAGTAAATTATGTAGGGAAAGTAGATTACAGTAATAATTAGCTGGGACTAGGAAAGATGAATGTAATTCTATTACATGGTTTCTGTTTGGAATAACAGTGTTTTAAAAGTTGATTATTGGATGGCTGGGGATTTAGCTCAGTGGTTGTGCCACCTGCCTCACAAGCGCAAGGACACAAGTTCAATCCCCAGTACCAAAAGGAAAAAAAAAAAGTTGATTATTGGTGACTGGTGTACAACTAACTGTAAATATGCTCAAAACTATTGAATTGCATTCATTGTTGGTTAACTTCATGGTATATACACTATATTTCAATCAAGCTGTTAAAATTAAAACTACAGAGAGCTATCACTAAGCGATATTATCAAGGTCAGCCATACCAAGTGTCGATGAGGGTGTGGAGCAACTGATATTTTCATACACTGTTAAGAATGTAAAATGGGGGCCAGGGTTTTTGCTCAGTGGTGTTGCTGCCTGCCTCACGAGTGCAAGGTTTGATCCCTGATACAAAAAAAAAAAAAAAAAA